AACCTTTGGCGGAAAACGGCCATGGTGATAACGGGCTAGGGTCCTTTTGGCGGAAAACGGAAACCCCCCTGACAGATACAGGTCTGTGAGAAACATCGTGATTATCAACGTATATTGTGGAGAGAGAACGTTAATGACCCTATAAAGATATATCGATTAAACACTGTCACCTATGGGACAGTACCTGCTTCGTATCTCGCGACAGCTTGTTTACAAAGATTATCTGAAATCGGACAAGGTCAATATCCAACAGTAGCACCATTAGTTGCACGGGATTTTTATACGGACGATTTTATCARCGGTGCAGCTACAAAGAAAGACGCAATCGAGATACGCAATGCACTTATCAAATTAATGTCTACAGCCAAATTAGAGCTAGGTAGGCTTAAATGGGCGTCTAACGATTCTGATATAATTCGAGATAGTTTCGACAACAATGACGGCTTAGTGGATTTTCAAGAGACAAGTAACGAGTTAACTAGAATACTTGGTCTATATTGGGACTCTCACACCGACGAACTTAAATATAAGATTAACGAAACTTCTGTAGTAACGCCTCTTACTAAACGCAATATATTGTCCRATATTGCCCGTATATACGACCCACTCGGCTTAATTGGTCTAGTAATAGTATGTGCAAAATTAATCATGCAAGAGTTATGGAAAGAGGGTTTATCTTGGTCAGAACCGGTTTCGGAAAAGAGAAGCAGTGAGTGGTATAAATACAAATCCGAATTATCGCATCTAAATGCAATTAAAATTCCGCGTCAAATTACGATAAACGATAAAATACACTCTATACAAATGCACGGTTTCGCGGATGCAAGTATTAAGGCATATAGATGTTGTTTGTATTTACGTTGTACGTACATGAATAACAAACATACGGTACGATTAATTGCGCAAAGTCAAAGGTAGTACCACTAAAAATATTATCACTACCACGATTAGAATTGTGTGCCGCTCTATTGATAGCAAAGGTAGCAAATAAGATCGTACCAAGGTTGAAATTGTCAATCAGTAGAACATATTACTGGACCGATTCCAGCGTTACATAGTGTTGGATCACGTCAACGTCGAAAAAATGGAAAACCTTCGTCGCACACAGAGTTGGTCAAATTCAAGAGATCACGTCTCCCTTAAACTGGTTTCACATTAGCGGTGTCGATAATCCGGCGGACATGATTTCACGCGGTTGTTGTCCCACCCAATTAGCAAGTTTATCAGTCTGGTGGAACGGGCCAAGTTGGTTGTCACGACACGAAAACGATTGGCCTGATACGATGAACCGCTCATTAGAGTGTAACGAGGAGAGTGCAGAAACAAAAATAAATGCGATAAGCGCTCTATGCACTACGGCAAGTGATATAAATATCATAAATCGTTATTCGTCCTTTGGTAAATTGTTAAGAGTCGTAGCATATTGTTTACGATTTAAAACTAATTKCTCACGTAAAATAAACAAAACAGGCTATCGGTGCCGACAAATCGGTAATTGAAGTGCTGACGAAATAAAACTAGCAAAAACGTCATTAATTAAAGTTGTTCAAAGAGAACTCGCCAATGAGATAAAATCTATGCTTAACGGAGAAGCAATATCAAGTAAGAGTAAGTTATTTCGTCTGCGACCGTTCTTAGATAAGAATAATATAATATGCGTGGGTGGACGATTAAAACATGTAGCATCAATTTCGATTTTCCAGCGTAACCCTATAGTGTTACCATCAAATAGTAATTTCACGAAATTGTTGTTATGTAACGAGCACGTAACATTAATGCACGGAGCATTGGCGGATATCCGGGGGGGGGGCTCTTTGCCCCCCCCCTGATAGCCGCAAAGCCCCCTCTAAAATGTTTGCCATATTATAAAAATATTGTACAGTTCAGTAAAAAATATTAAGAAACATTTTTTTAAATATATATTGTACATTTCAGTTAAAAATGTTGAGACAATTTTCATTATATTATATACCTATACAAGGTGACACCCGTTAGATCACTCTGTATATAAATAATTTAGAACACAT